GTGCTATCTGTTACCTACCTTGAGCAAAGTGACATGAACAAGGATATTATTTTAGAAAATGTGTCCCACTTGTATCTATGGTGACAAGATCCTTATCAGAACAAGGCAAGCATGCAGGCTGGCTGCTCCTTGTTATCTTGGTGTAGGATGACAGCAAGAGTATCACTGTTAGAAATGTTATCTACCCTTTATTATTTCACTTGTGAGGGGCTAACAAGAGTGTTATCAGGATGTTTGCAATCAAAACACGTGCAGCTCAAGTGATAAAAGGGAGAACAGACATCTGATCTCCAAGGATATGAAGACAATGCAGCCTTGAGCAGAAGGAGATGGATCTTATTATTGAAAATGGTTTGGCGGGCTGGGAACGGACAAACAAGAGCAGGCAATTGTTCAAATTGTAAGCTCAGAGGAGAAAGGGAGGGAGAAAATGAAAAGGTGATCATATCAACAGCCTTCTCAGCTGAAAGAATAATTTGTTTCAATAAATCTTTTATGATTTTTTTTCCCTTACACTTGAAGATGAGATGTAGCAACCCACCAGCTGTGATGGGTAAGGAGTTTCCAAAGTAAGAAAGAACCTAAGAAGTTTATACCAAGATTTGCATGAGGGGACTACAGAGGCACTCAGTGATGTTTTAGTAGCGGAAAGGCTTTCATTATTATTATTGTTGCTGTTCCTTGTAGTACAGAACTGGTCAGAGATCCTGCAAGTAGGATTGCAGTCCTATTATGGCAGGGGTTGTTCAGGCACAGAATCAGGCACAGCATTTTATGCCTCCAAATTTTTTTAAGACGATAGTCTTGTACAGTATCACTGTCATGGAGTGTCTGTATGAAAGAGGTAAGGCAGCAAACAAATATAAGCCCCTTTTTCAGATCAAGGACAGTGGTTCTTCTTCTCCATTTGGCACTGGTGAGGCCACACCTGGAGTATTATGTCTACTTTTGGGCCTTACACTTCAAGAAAGATGTGTCCAGAGTGTAAAGAGTCTGGTGGAGAAAAATAAAAGTGATTAGTCCGAGAAATATGACTTATGAGGAAAGGCTAAAAGGATTTGAATTATTTAGTCTGGAGAACTGAAGACTGATGGTGGATTTGATAACAGTCTGCAAACACCTGAAGGTAATTATTAAGAGAACTTTCTAACTATGAGGGTGGTCAAGCATTGGAACAGGCTACCTAGAGAAGTGGTGGAATTGCCATTCCTGGAAATTTTCAGAAGCAGGTTAGACAGGCACTTGGCAGGGATGGTTTTAGGGAGGGATAATACTTCCTTGTCAAGGAAACTGCACTAGATGACCTCTTGAGGTTCCTTCTCACCCTACTTTGCTATGATCCTATACTTGAATGTCAGCTCCATTGATGGTATAAATTGGTAGAGTCCCATTGCAGAAAAACTGATGTGTACCAGCTATGAATCTGTCCCCATGGAACTACTATTTCTGTCTCTACTGCTTTGCCCCTCAAATGAAATAAACTAGTTTTCAACCACCAGGCCAGTCAGCTATTGCATGTGGAGCTTGGTGAACAGAACCTGGAAAAAGCCAGAACCATGACAAAATTTGGGGCTACATCCAGGAAGGGGATTGGGGTGGGGTTTGCCTAACTCTTATGTGACTGTGCACCCTGGTGGGCTCCTCAGCCATGACAGAGGCACCAGACCATGTAAAGGCAGAATTTGGTGCTTAAGAAAGCTGTCAGGAGCCACCAATACTATTGAGTATGTTGTGAACACTTACGTATTTTATGCAACTTGGAAACAGGAGAGAAACCTACCCCAGAATATGTAATATTCTAGTGAGGAGGGCACTCTCCAGGGATGATAGTTCTTAGGTTCATGTCAGTCTTTAATAAGGCAGAACCAGTTCCAGAATTATATGGTTGGGAAGGACCTCAAGTCCAACCCTGGGCAGAGAAGTAGGAGAGAGCTGAGCCTGGGTCTGCCACACCCTGGATAAGTGTTTTAATTATTGGCCTATTGGGCACTGGGGTAGGGACAGCATCTCCTTTGTGAAAAGCCGGATGCTGTGAAAGCTACTTATTGGATTGGACCCCCCAGATGACTTGAGCAAGGTTAGGACATAGACACCCATTCTGATTAGGATGTAGGCATTGGGCTTGTCTAGTATCAGGATGCAAGTGGTTTCCGCATGCCAGCAGCACCAGAAACTCAGGTACCAAATGGACTTTGCTGGCAGCTAATTATGTACCTGAGGACATTAGGTACCTCTGTGTTAACTCTGTGTTAACTGAATGTGATTCTGAATGTCTAAATGTTGGCATTAAGTGTGTGTCTTAACACTGATCACCTTACCTTGCAGTAGTTGCATTCACCTTGCTAGGACTTGATATAGAAGGAGGAACCACCTGACATAGGAAGCAATTGCAGACTTTTTCCTGGGAATGTGGACTGCATACTCTCCATCCTGAAAATCACTGGACAGAAGAGGAGACTAAAATCTGCTGTTAAATAATGTCATGGTTTGAACCAGTATTAAAGGACACTTTGGTAAGTGCAGAGGGTCCAAAGGATTTTGAAGTCATTTTTAATTAAAATAAATACTAACTCTTAAATCTGGCCAGATCCTGCCCCCGCATTCCACTAATTTTATGGCTTTGCATTAACTTGAATTAGCTTAAGGAAACATTCCAAAAAAAAGCCCTCTCTGCAATGGCTTAACCAAAGAACCAAAATCATTACAAACTGACCACTTGCCAGTGCTCGTTTGTTTTTCCTGCCATAATTAGGTTGATCTCCCTGTCTGCCAAAGCTATCACAGAGCCTCATTATTTCTTTATCTCTGACACAGCTGTGCCTATTTCAGTCATCATGAAGTACATGCAGAAAAGGTGCAGAAGGGGATTCTCAAACGCAATCAGCATTGGTCCTAACTCTGCTCCTGCTGAAGTCAATGGTAAAATGTCCTTCAGGCTTCAAATGTGACTAAGCCGCCTGAAAGAGTTCAGCAATGCATTGTGTCAGCTGTAATGCAAAACTAACCTCATGCTATCTCAAAGCCAATTTTGACTGGCATTAACCAAATGGGAAAACTCTTCTATTGATACTCCAATTATTGCTGGTAGGAGAAGCTGAAAAGGTCAGATTTTGGTTCTCCATTGCCCTACGACTTGTGTAGTCATTTGAAATGGCTACTACATATCCCCATTCAGATTTGGCAGCAGCCTGAAGTCATGTAATCACACGTGGCATAGAGAAGGAGGGAATCCAGCCCTTTGCTTCTTAATGTTGGAGGTGTTTTTATTCTAGCTGAGGAGCTGGTTCACTCCTTTGACGCTGAAATATCCTCAGATCATAAGGCACACTATTCTGGTGTCATGGTTTTCAAGGAGGACCAGGAAACTTGCTTCCTACTGCTTTCCTAGGACTCGCTTGGCTGCCCCATTAGAAAATACATCATTTTGAAATGTTTGTTTGTGATATACCTCAAGATCCAGCAGTCTCCAAGCCTTGAGAAGAGGTAGGCCCTACTAGATAGATATCCACCCTGAAAGCGGGGTGGTCCCACTTTCCTCTTTTACATCATGGAAAGGAAATTTGAATAGGGTAGTTGGAAGAGTCTGTCAAGCCTATGCTCAGAGGCCCATTGCTGCTTCTGAGGCATGCAGGATTAGATAATGGCAGGGAGCAGCTATGCGAGGGACAAGGTTGATGGTGAGCCTTTACCTAGACTTTTACCTCTGAAAAAGTTTGGGTTTAGTTGGAATGGGTGAAACGAACGTAGGGAGAAGCTAGATCTTATTCTAGCCCATACAGCGTATGTGAAAATTACCTCATATTGGGGGTTTGCGAAGTGGGCTGATTCAATTCTGCCTAATCCAAATCTGAAGATTCGATGCTGATTCGAAGAATCAGTGATTCGACCACAGACACATCTTGAAATGTTTTTTCTGCATACCTCGAGGTATCAGGTGCGGCTCGTGATTGCTGCGATGAGGGGCAGATGTAGCGTCCCACAGCAGTGAGGTGGGGAGGGGGGCCTCCATGTGCTTGGCAGTGAACCCGGAAGTGGACCCAAAGTACTTCCAGTCCACTTCTGGGTCTGCTGGGGAGGGCACTGGGGCCCCTCCATGTCCTGCCAGCTCAGCAGTTGGCCACAGGGGGACCCTGGGTGCCCTCCCAGACCCAGGAGGCACCAGTCACCGAGCCGGGGCAAGGTGCAGGGGGGCTCCCCCGCGCTCCCTGGTGGACCCGGAAGTGGACTGGAAGTGCTTCTGGTCCACTTGCGGGTCTGCTGCTAAGCGCGCTAGGGAGCCCCTCGCGCTTCTGTGGGACGCTCCATGCACCCCACCATTGCAGCATTCATGAGCCCCTGATACTTAGAGGTATGTAGAAAAAACATTTAAAGCTGTGTATGTCCGAATCGCCGAATCTTTCCGAATTGATTAGGAGGGTTCCGATTCAATATGGAGCGATTAAAGGGTCCTGTGATTCAGTTTGGCCCCAATTCAGGCCAAATCTCCGCTGAATCGAATCAGGGACCGAGGTTTCGCAGAGCCCTACCTCATATGGTTCTTTATATAGCAATAACTACTGTTAGTTAGCTTGATCTACTCCATATTCAGCTTGCATTGTATGTCATCCATAGTGAACAACCTCAACCTGCCTAAATCGTTCCCAAATCACTTTCTGTTAGCTGTATTCCTCTAGTAACCGTTCTTCACTTGGCGAGCTGAGAAGCAACCATCTCTCTCCCGTTTGTCTGTGCTTATAATATGAAATGCACCTTTTTATTTGACTGTGTAGCCTGGGAGGGCCAGTTAGGCCCTCCTGAATGATATGATGTGACCCAGCACATATTTCTCATCATTCCCCTCTGCCCTTCATCTCTCCCTGTCTCTCACACCTTTAATTGCACTTGTGTTTCTGAAGCATATGGAATTCATTATTCAGCAAACAATGTTCTTTGCAATATCAGCCTTAATTAACTAGCCCCTCTGTATTTTCTTTCTCTTATCCTGGTTGAATCTAGAATCTACACGCTCTGAGACAAGCTGACGGCCCCCCACACACATCAGTGCCAGCCAGCCAGCCATGACCAGATAAGAAGAAATGGAATTCCTTATCACAAAAAAAAAAAGAAGAAAACCCTGCAAAAGGTCAAGGTTAGTGGGAAAGGGGAAGGTCCTCCAAAACAGCTAAAAAACCCCTTCTCATCCAAATCCCCATAGCAACAAGATGGAGCATCATGGGATGCCAGGATGAGAAAGGCCTATTCTGTTCTTACAGCAATCTTTCCACTTCATTAGCCTCTTTATCAAGTATATCTATACCAGGCTGAGTATATTTGTGTGTCAGGGAGCAGTACAGAGGATTCAAAAGCATGTTGACCTTTTCGGTGGGACTCAGAGCTACTTGTGGGAGTTGCAGCATCTCCTGCTCTCTTCCCTTCCCCCTCATCGCCAGTTCACATGACCTCGCTCTCTCTGGCCTTCTCATCAAAATCTGTATCTGGTGAGCGATGAAGGTTTTCTTTTTAAGGCCATGGAAAGTGTCCTTCAGAGGCGCTAGGGGAGTCAAAACCCTTGCTGTCAGAGCTGTGTGTCTCTGAGGATGATTAATGACTCTGCTTATAGAAACCCAAAATAAAATGGAAAAAATAAATACAAATGGAGTGTGTGTGGGGGGAAGTGAAGGCACAGAGAAAAACCTCATGGACAGAGTGGGTTTGCTGTAGAATTGTCTTGGTGTTCTCTTTGGAAGAACTAGTTATTCTTAAAAAGGCTTTTAGGAGGCTTTATTGAGACAAAAGTCTTAAGGTTTAGTCCTTTGACCTTGAAAGGGTATGCGCATCTGTGTGTGTATTTGTCTCTGTCTGCAGGATCGTGTTTATGGGATGGAAATAAGCTTAAGAGCACAGCCTTGATTTGATGGCGCAGAAACCGAATGTGGTTGTCTCAAACCATTTGAAAAAGTATCTGACATAGAAGAGAGCTTGGGTCTAATGCTGCATGGTTCATTCTCGGGGGACGCATCTACGTGAGATGCTGTTGTGTGGTAGCAATGAGCATCTGCATGATAGCTCATTGGTACTGCACAGTAGCATCGGGTAAAAAAAGTGCTGTAACAGTACTGCGTAGTAACACTAGTTACTGCGCAGTCAGCAGCTCATCTAGATGCACCCAAGGAGTCTTAAATTGCTTTGCAAATCTATGTACTAGCTGTTGGCAGTAAAAAAGTTAGGGAAACTTCATCAACTGCTGTGGATAAGTAATAGTTTGCACACAGCTTTAAATCATGGGGTCGTTTCTTCTGCTGGGAGAAATAAGTGTAGCTCATCTGAAGACACTGGAATTACACAAAATTATACCAGCAATGGAATGGGTGCTTGGAGTCTCCTTTACTGAGAACAGGAATATTAGCCAGGGCAATAATATTGTTCTACCTCTTTTTAGGATGAAACTTTTAGGTCATTATTTCCACTAAGAAAGGCGTTTCAGATGAGGGTTCACTGCTTTATCTGGGGGCTTGTCACATTGTGAAAAGTAAGCTCAACTTCGTAACACAAAAAGATGTGGTGTGAAACTCAAGATATTTTAAATAACATGAATTAGGTAAGGAACAACATGCTAGAGCTTAGCTTCAGGGCTGTAAAATATGTATGGCTCACTCAAGAGGGACAACACAATCACTCCTTGTAAAGATGCTTGAAACTGTGCCTGCTTAACTTCTAAATTGGCAACTTTATTTTTTTAATGCAAAAAGAAACATAATAAAATGTTTTGTCGCTTGCAGAAAAAGCCGTGCTGTGAATATGCTAGTCAAGACAGTTCCTGTGCTTTTTAATAGGCTGTATTGTGCAAACCCTTTTTCTCTATCACATAACTGATTCTCGCGGAGAAGCCCCCTTTAAGCTGTGTCTTACAGGGGTGCTGTTCTTCACTTGGATTCATTGTTTTGCAAGTCTCATAATTCCTTATATATAGACCAGGAAACTGAGGTTAAGTGACTTGCCCAAGGCCACATGGCAAATCAATGACAGCCAGCCCTTACTGACAGGAGCAGTTCTGATGACTTCATGCAACATTGACTTCAATGAGCACATTGTCAGCACTTAACAAATAGGAATAATCAATCCAATCACCATCCCATCTCCAGCCAAGGGAGCCTAAGGTGGGAGACTGTATTATGTTAATAAACAGTTACATCTGTGTTCAGTCATAAAAACAGAGATCGCCAAGAGGGAGCAGTGTTCAGGTTATATTCCTTGTTCCAGGAGTGGTGGACTTCCTTATCAAACCTCTCCTACTGGCAGAGTTCTTAAAATTTCTGGATGTTACCCTACGCATAAGCTGATATCATAATTCCTGCTATTGGGAAACTATCTATTGCACAATCCCTTTTGTCACATTTATCTGAGAAACCACAATTGAAGAAGAAAAGCATAACCTGTCTAGTGCCTACATATGAAGCATTCTATCACAGTCTCATAAGGTTTATACCATCCCATATAAAAGAAATACAACTTGAAAGGCAATATCTTTGCCTTAATTTGCTTGGAGATAAGGTATTTTTCACTGAGGTTTGGGAGGGGCTTTTCTTTCCCACTTTAGTGGCCTACAGAGCTTTATGTAGCGCCTGCCAGCAAATGGAAAGTAGCGTGAGAGTGAGTCTTTCTGGTGATGAGACCGCCCGTATTAGTTTTGTGGGTGTGATGTTTCAAGAGTCTGTTCCAATATTTATTGGTCACATATTGGTCTGTGCTCCCTTCATGGGCCACTGATCAAGTATCAGGAATATGTGTATTACCCCTTTCTCTACTCTGTTGTTTGTCTGGGCTTTATAATGCATGAATGCATCTATAGTTATGGTAAATGATATGCTCATCTAGTGTTGTGTTATATGAGTGAAGATTTTGCTCTTCAACATATCTCTTCCAAGTCCACAGTTTGGCCTGAGGAAATAGTTTGATCCTGACAAAGTCTCTGGACTGTAGTTCTGGGATATTGTTGATCATAGAAACTATGGCCTCTGCAGGCATCTCTTCTTTTTGTCTTGTTGCTCGTTCCACCAATACTGATTGTACAAAGGTGTTTCAGAAACTAATGACAAAACGACTGTCCATGCTGTATGTCTGTGACAAAGTGGGAGACCATGCAGTAGTACAGAATACTGATGGTGACTGATCATTTCACACAAAATGGTTTTATTTCAAAATTATTGTTACTTTTGGAAATGCCATCACATTGTAGTGTTGTGACTGCAGGCACCAGGGTCTGCAGGGGCCTACTGTCCGAAAGTGCACAGCTTGGGTTATCCTGCCTACTGGCATGCTTTTTAGCATTGTCTTTGATGGTCACTGTGTTGCAGTATCTGATAGTTTGCCTGCTTCCCAGAATTCTGAATAGAAGTCGATGATAATGAGGTAGTTTGAAAGGTTTGCAGTGAAAATCCTTCCCTACTTCCCCTCAAGGTCTCTTTAGGATGCTTGGTATTTTCATCGTCTCTCTTTGCTGCTTGGCCTTCATTTCCCTGCATCTCATATGTACTCATCAGTTCCCTTGCATCTTTGGTTGTGTTTGGCCGGCATATGGCAAAGCTGGATTCCAATATACAGCTGGATTCCAACATACAGGGTTCTGTTCCAAAAAGGCTTTGATGTATTCTTGAGAGAGTTTCTGTTCTTTAATGATCTAAGTGTTATGACTCAAGTGCCATTATAAAGAATGCTGTGTTGTACATGCAACTCATCTTGAGAGTCCCAGTAATCTTGAAAGGCAGGTAGGACTTTTCCTCTGGTGCTTGGCCATCCTGACAGAATGATGAATACAAGCACATGTAAATCTTTGTCCTGTTTAGTTAGTTCTTGGATTCTCTCCAGACCCTGCCTTGAAACTGGCACAGAACTGACATAGCTGGTGTTTCCTGTGTCTTTCTGTGATTCCTGAATTTCTATGTGGTGGAGGATCTTGTAATTGTGTTTGGTTGTTGTGCTCTCATGTTGCCAGGCTACACTGGATAAGAAGTTAGCTGTTTGAATCTCAGTCCTTTTCTTGGAGAACACATCAAAGTTATGTAAGATGTAGTACTGCAATGTCAATAGCATGAATTGAAAGCATTTTGAGGCTCCTAAGTTCTGGCCTTATTGAAAAATGGATTGTAGTGGATTGAGGTCATGTTCAACCCATATTCGATCTTTGAATATACTTAGTAGGCCTGTGCGAAGTGGCTAGTATTTGCTCCAGATTCGGCTGATTTGGGGGGAGAGTGATTCAATTCAGTGATTTGAATCACTGTCCTGAATCGATTTGGCCGAACCTGATTCGGAGATTCAGCCGCTGCTGAATCGGCCGAAGAATGTCTGAATCAAACAGGGCCCAGCCCCTGCCCACTCTCCCAGCCCTGTTAATGGCTGCCCCACCCGGCCCCAGCTCCCGGCTCTTTAAAAAAAACAAACAACCCCCCTCATTCACCGGCTTCTGCTCCGCGTGCATGGGGGCTCTGCCACAAGCCCCCAGAAACCTGGATGGCTGCTGCAGCATCCAGTGAGTGCGGGCTTTTTTTTAAGAACTGGGAGCCGGGGCTGAGCGAGGCAGCCATGCAGGGGCTGGGAGAGCAGGAAGGGATCAGGGGGCGTTCAGAGGTGCTGGGGGAGCAAGCAGGGAATGGGGCCTGGCAGGGGTCCCCCATGGTCCCCTCTCCCCTCCTCCAGCCCTGCACCCCACCCCCTACTTACAGGTGCAGAGTCTGGGTCCAGCTCCCTGTGGCAGTGAGTGGGGACTGCCTGAATCTCCAAAGCTCTCCGAATCTTTTCTGAATCAATTCGGACTTTTTTATTGGTTTCCCGATTAGATTCAGATTTGGAGATTTGCCAAAGATACTAATTGATACTTTTGTAGGAGTGAAACCCAAGACCCATCTCATAGGATGGGGGAGTTGTTTGCGAGGTCCTAGATACGACTGTATTATGTTGTGGTAACCATGTCCCTCCTGCAGGCTTATCCAGTCATAGCCTAAGGGGTTTTCAGCGCTCAGAAACTTTTTTTTTCTTGGATATTGTATAAATCCTATCAGTTTCTGAACTGAGTAGGTATCTTTAGTTGTGGGTATTTGGTCTATGGTGGTTAACTTTTGATCATAGTCCATGGAAGATCTACCCCTGGGA